AGGAATGAAAGCGGCAATCTCGGAGGAGGGAGGGCGCGGCCCTCCTTGTAATCGGCTGGGAAGAGGGAGAGGAAAAGCAGGATCCCTGGTTAATCCGTGACTTCATCCCCGTAACGGGGCGCGGGATTCACCCGAACTTCCACCCGTTCCCTCCGGACGAGCGGCAAAGCAACTGCCAGGCTGTTGTTTGGCCAAAGCCATCGGCATCAAAGGCCTCCAGCTTGATTGCGATTAAGGGAAAGGGGAAAGAAGCTGCCTTCCTGCCCCCCACCCAAAGACTCTGGAAAACTTGAGGCTGAGCAGCAGCGAGGAAAGTCCCTGCGAGGCTGGAATGGAGCGGCAGAGGAAAATATTTTGTAATTAGATAAGAGGCCAGTGAGGTAATTTTTTTTTGGAACAGAGGGTGAGATTTTGGTCACCTTTGTTGAACAAGGGGGAAAAACAAGGATAAAATGATATCATTAGGCTGTTTTGTTCCTTGGAGCAGGTAAATCTGCGGGACAACTTGCTGCCCCATCCCTGCCCTCCCCCTGAGCTGGTTTATGCATCATTTATTGCACTGTTTGCTGGAACTGCCCCTGTCGCACAGCATTGCTGTTAAAAATTGTTTTGCAGAACAAGCTTTTGCATCCAGATGTGGGTTGGTTCTGAGTGTTGCCATGCTGAGTTGCCTGCAGGCTTATTTTTTCCCTTAAAAAGCAGCAAAGTGCAGATTTCTGTTTCCTTAATGGATGGTTCAGGGAGAACCCAAGGTCCAGTGAACTTTTTTTTGTTTCCTATGAGTCCGTTAAAACAACCACCCAGTTGTTGGTTTTACAAAGTTCAGTGTTTAGAACTGAGGACGAAGGACTGCACCATGTGCTCGACTTCCCTGCCTGGGAGCAGCTGGAGTGTCTGGACTGAATTTCCAGATATGCCTGCGAAGAAGTTGTAACAACATTTCCATTGTCTGTGAGCTTCCAGTTTTCATCAGGCTCCGGGACTGTCCTGGCATGGACACCACAGGAAAAGCCACCCGTGGCCGAGGCCTGTGTTTGAGCTCTTGCTCCATCCTGGCTGTTCCTGCGGCAGCTTTTCCCTTCGCTCTGTCTCTGCTCCCTGGGATGAGGGGCTGAGGTGCTGCAGTGGAGCTCAGGTCACTTCCTGCAGGTTCTGCCCCTGTGGCAGCCCCTGGAACTGTCATTAGGGCCACGGAGATGCTCCACGGGTGGAGCCCCTCTGCTCTGGAGGCAGGGTGGGAGGGCTGGGGGTGTTCAGCCTGGAGAAGGATCCAGGGAGACCTGAGAGCCCCTTCCAGAGCCTAAAGGGGCTTCAGGAGAGCTGGAGAGGGACTGGGGACAAGGGCCTGGAGTGACAGCACAAGGGGGAATGGCTTCAAACTGACAGGGCAGGGTTAGATGGGATATTAGGAAGAAATTGTTGGCTGTGAGGGTGGGCAGGCCCTGGCACAGGTTGCCCAGAGAAGCTGTGGCTGCCCCTGGATCCCTGGAAGTGTCCAAGGGCAGCTTGGACAGAGTTTGGAGCAACCTGGGCTAGTAGAAGGTGTCCCTGCCCATGGCAGGGGGTTGGGTGGTCTGTAAGGTCTCTTCCAACCCAAACCATTCTGGGATCTCACACCTGCACAAAACTGCACTGAAACATCCAATCTCTGTCTCGAGTCCCACTTCTTGCCCGGTGGGAATGGTGCTGAAGCCTCACCCTGGGGTGTTTCTCTTCCCAGCCTGCCTTTGGCTGGTCCAGGCAACCCTGGAGTTGGCACAGGACTCGGGGCATTATCAGGCTGCTCTCCTACCACAAACCAGTGTGGGCAGAGGACAAAACCTGCTGCTGCTGGCCCTGCTTAAGCAGAGCTGACCTGAACATCCCACAGGCAGGAGGTGAGCTCAGAGTCAGGCCTGGCTTTGCCCATGGCCAGGATTGACTGTGCTGGGACTGAGGCAACAACCTGCCCCCAGCTTGTGGGGTGGCTGCTGCTCCCAATCCTGAGTGTGCAGCAGCCAGGAATCACAGGGCATCAGTGTCCCCTAGCAGATACATCCCCAAAAACCGAGTGGGAGGGGTTAGTTGTCCATCATTCAGCAGCCTGTAACCCATGGGCTGCCACGCCACCAGGTCCCAGGGGCAGAGCCTGCTCAACCCTTTCCCCTCCACTCACTGCTTCACTTGAATAACTACAGCCACAAAAAGACACATCTTGCATCCTGAAACGACCTTGTAAGGAGGAGCATCTCCCTCTGCATGCAGCAGGAATTCAGCACCTGCAGAAACCATCACCCAGCACACACGAGCAGCCCCGAGCCAAGCTCACACGAGAGATTTACCCGTTTACATGTACATAGAGGGATGTGTGTGTGTGTGTGTGTGTGTGTCTGTGTGTGTGTTGTGCAGGAACCCATCCTGCTCCCCTGGAGATGCAGTTATTTTATGTAAGAGTATTTTTTTTAGAATGGGTATTGCTTATTTCCACCGCTGTACCACTGACTGCACTGTAACAGGCCCGGTCCCTGTGATTGCTTCGAAGGCTGGAAATTTCCTGTGTACTTTCGCCCCAGCACGGTGAAAAACAGACCACACAGAAGTAACAGTTATACAACTTTAAAAATAAAATTTAAAAAAAAAAAAAAATTAACTGTTAAAGATTTATTGCAATAATACAATAAAATTTAGAAAAAAAAAAACAAAACAACAAAAAAACCAAACAACCAAATTTGTGTTCAGTTACATCGGAAGTTGCGGAGAGAGGCCGCGAGTTCTCGCAGGTGAAAAGCCACCCTCGGGTGTCCCCCCCCTACGAGACCCTTCGGAGGCACCTGATTGGGGCTGGGCACCCAAAATCAGGCCCTTCCTTGGCAGCTCAAACTGGCCACCCCAGGTCACTGGTCACGGCCCAAAAGTCACGGCCTGAGCTGAAATTCCCGTGTTCGTTCACGCTACGCGAAGTGTTTTGTAAACTCTCAGCTGGTTGCTTCACGCATCTGTAATTACAGATAATTCCTGCCCTCCCCTACCCCCCTCCCCAACAACCTGGAAAACGAATCCCGGTGATTGCACTCGAGGTTTTTGACACACACAGTTCTCCCTCAGCTACACATGTGCAAAACACTTTAAAAAAAAAAAAACAAACGCCGCAACTTCTGTGTTCCGTTACAAAAAAAAAAAAAAAAAACAAACGTTCCTGGGAAAGCCCCACCCCAAACTCGTTTGAACACCCTCCCCGTGCCCTTGTGCACTCTCAGAAGGTGACATGGCTGCGAATAAATTATTCTGGAAAACATGGATAGGAAGTATATGGCTTAGAAGAGTTATTGGGCTGGATTTTCTTTCCCTAAGTTGAGTCAGCGTACGAAGCTGAGTCATGGCCTGACCTTTTCGGGGCTTCGAAGCAGCACAAAGGCAGCAACGAAAGAGGGACTGAAATGCCTGTGAAATACAAAGAAAAACCCAACAAAAAAAAAGGTGTTTAGATGGCAGGGTCCAGTGCAAAATAAAGGAGGAGCCAGAAGGGGCTGCACAATATGAGCCCAGCGTCCCATACTGGGGCGTGCTGGTTGCTCAGAGCTGCAAAAGGATCCGAGAGCTGCGAGTCATAAAGTGCCGTGAGCCAACAGTGCCCAAACCCCCTGGGCCCTGATCAGGCTCCAGAGGGAGCCTGGGCTGTTCTCTTCAAACAAACCTAACTATTAGAACAAAAGAGTGGCAGGAGTGAGGGTGTTGTCCTCTAACAACGTGTGTGTGTTGCTAGCGTGGAGTTAAGGGTCTTTGGTTTAAAAGGAAAAAAAAAAAAAAGAAAGAAAGAAAAATTAAAATTAACAGATGCCCAACCCCAAGGCCAAAGAGAAAGAGCTGCCATACAAGGGATGGGGAGGGAGGCTCAGGTTGTACCCCCTGTGTGGGGTACAGGGCAGAGTGGCAGAAACCCTCCCTCGTGGAGGGAGGGGGGGATGCTCTTACCTTGGTTGACCCTGTGGAGAAAATGTCCCAATCCTAAATGTAAACTGCACGTTGGGAGCCTCGCTGAGCAACCCCATTCCATGAGTGCTCCATCCCACAAGGCAGAGGAAGGGGAGGAGCACCTGTCCACCAACTCACCTGTCGGCATATTCCCACCTCCCGCGGTTTCACGAGCCAGTTGCGCCAGGGAAACGAAATCAAACTTCTTGGCATTCGGTAAACAAAAAAAACACCCCACCCCACCCCCCCCAAACATAAAATAAAACAGGGTTAAAAAACACATGTAGTGTGGAGAGCGTGTGACTTCACCAAACTGGCTTGAAATGAGGTTTTTCTCATGTTAAGAGAAGTGGCAAGACGGTGTGGGGACCGATGGATATTATTGCAACGACGCAATTCTGTCTCAGCATCGGATGTGGGTCGAGCGAAGAGAACGTCCAGTGTTTCTTTGGTGTGTGATATTAAGAGTAAAGAGCCCGTGTGCCTTGGGCAGCACGACACGAAACTTCTAGAACACCTACCAGCGGAAACAGCATGAAACAAAGCCGGCTTTCCTACGGCAAAAAAAACTGGGTAAAAGATTCACAGCCAAATCTAAAACAAGAGCAACTTGCTGTGTGAATTCCCTGCCCGTGCCGATTCTTTGTATTAAAAATATGGCAACAGAGATTAGAAAACATGTTAAAAATGCATAATTTTCATGTCCTGAATGAAAAAAATTTAGAAATACGCGTTTCTGCATTATGCAAGACAGATTTAAAACACACGCACACACACAAAAGGAAAAACCCTGTAAGGAGTTAAGAAAGTGGGAACTGCATTTGCACCACTGTCCAGACCGTGCCCTGAGCAGCCTCCTCTGCGCCCATCCCGATCCAGATGCTCCAAAATCCGTGTCTTCTTCAGAAAGTAGAGCTGGAGGTCGCCAGGTCCTTCGATATTCAACGCAGACGGAACCAAGACACGAAGCGCCCTCACAGAATCCGTCAGGAGCTAATTTACAAAATAAAAAGGTTTTTTTTTTGTTGTTGTTGTTGTTTTTGTTTTTCCGGTTTACAAAACGAAAAGTCCTTGACCTTTTCTTTGTTCCAGGCACTACTAAACTGAATATGTAAGGTTTCCTACAGCACTGTCGGGGAGGGGGTGCCTTCCACGGCTCCTGCGCCCCTTTGTCCCCGGTTAGCGGTGCCCGGTGTAGGCCTTGAACCACGAGGTCACCGAGGCGGCGGCCGACGAGATCATCCCGCCGGCGCTGCTGCTGGCGATGGGCTGGGACGCCTGGGTGCTCTGGCTCTGCAGCATCTCCACCTGCTGCGAGGGGATGTCGCAGAACCTGGGGCTCGGCAGGTTCTCCCAGTCCGTGCCCAGGTCCGTCTCCTCGTCGCTCACGCGCTCGTCGCCGCTCTCGTCCGTCTCGCCGGCGGCGCTGGGATCCACGAACTCCATGGAGTCCTCGAGGTCGGCGCTGATTTCGAAAGGCCCGGACCTGTGGACGCGGACACAGGTGAGCCCTGGGAACGCCACGGCTCTGTCATGTGCCCAGCAGGGAGATCAAACAGCCCTGTCTTTGTCAGCGGGCGGAGGAACTCGCTGGTTGCAGAGCTGTGTTAGGACAGCGGTGAAACAAAAGCGCTCGGCCAGGGAAGGGACAGGGTTCCAGATCACGGAGCTGGAATGGTGGAAGAGCCGTTCTGCTTCGGCAGGGATAGCGAAACACACACTACTGATGATAACTCAGAGCTCCACTGGTGGGAATCTCAGCTTGATGTGGAACAGCTTTCCTTTCCAACACTAGCCCCGGCCAGGTGAGATGGCTCAGCTCTGTCTCTCTAACTTAGGGGACCTGGCACAACTTCCACAAAGACGAGGAGACTCCTCACCTCACCCTGAGCAACACCTCAGCACCTGCTTCACTGTGAGACTGGCCAAACACTGGAACAGCTGCCCACAGAGGCTGTGAGGTCTCCACTGGAGACCCTCCAAATGCCACCACACAGAATCCCAGAATGGTTCAGGCTGGAAGGGACCACAGTGGGTCATCTGGCCCCACTTCCCTGCTCAGGAAGGGTCATCCCAGAGCATGTGGTACAGGATTGTGTCCAAATGGTATCTGAATATCTCCAGCAGGGGAGACTCCACGCCCTCTCTGGGCAATCTGTTCCATTGCTCAGTCACCCACACAGGAAAATTCTTCCTCACATTCAGGTGGAACTTCCTGTGCAGCAGTTTCTGCTCGCTGTGTCTTGTCCCACTGCTTGGCACCCCAGAGCAGAGCCTCATCCACCCTCTTGGCTCCTGCCCTTCTGAGGGACTGGATGAGGCCCCCTCTCAGTCACCCCTCGAGGCTGAGCAGGCCCAGCTCCCCCAGCCTTTCTCCATAGGAGAGATGCTCCAGTCCTGAGTGCCTGGCTCTGCTCTGAGCAGGGGTAAGGGGTTGGATCTCCAGGAGTCCTGGCTAAACCCACCTGCACCCTGACTCCGAGTGCCCTGCTGCCACTGCCTGGTGGGAGAAGCGATTGCATCCTGCCCCATCCCACTGCTCTGGGCTGCCTGTGCTCCAGCCCAAACCTGACTCACCTTTACTGAGCCAAAGCTGGCACTTTCAGAGGCCTGTGACCCACGGTCAGAGACTGTGAGGGTTTCACAGAGGCACAGAAAGGCACATCCCCCTCCCCCAGCGAGCAGCATCCCTGCCAGAACTCATTCCAAAGCTGTTCAGTGAAACATGAGCATGAATTTCATGGAATCGTGGAATCATTTAGGTTGGAAAAGACCCCCAAGACCACCAACTCCAACCATAAAACACAGCAACTGCTGTAACACAGGCAAAAGTGTTTCTCCAGCCTTAGTGGGAGAAGGAGCCTGAAGCAGCGGTTTAGCATGGAAAATTTTAATCCAGACAATTAAAGCTTGGTAGAATTACATGTATATGAAAACAGTAGTGTTTTCATATACAGAAAACAGAGGAGATTATCAGGCAACTAAATGCTTAGGTATCTAAAGGAAAACAGAGAGAGCTGCTCGCTGCTAACTTTGCAGCCAGCTTAGAAATTAAAGGCCAACACTCCCCTTTCATAATCCAGGAAGGAATGGGAGCGCTGCCTCCTGGCAAAGTGTTTCGCTTAACAAGGCAACCTGAGAGGAGAGTCATCAGGTTTGAGGCCAGAAGGGACCATTAGATCATCTCAGGTGACCTCCTCTACAACAAAGGCCACTCCGTTCCACCCGTTCTCCCTGTCCCGAGCCCAGGGACTCCCGCCTGGTGACAGCACCCACTCCAGGAACTCACCCAGCCCTGGCAGGACGACAGAAGGAAGCAGAATCCCCACCTTCATTCTTGTGGGCAATCAACCTGTGCTTCAAGCACATGTGCCTCATTTCAGCCAGCTCATACCCTGTGCTCCCAGTGGTGTCTCTACAGCCATTCCACAGTCTGGGAGGCGCTTTATCCAACTCTCCTCTAACCCCTTCTTGCACTGCCTGGACCCAATGGATGCACCTGGAGCTCTGTGACAGCTGCACAGGTACCCACTGTGACCCCTGGACCTTTTGCAGTAGCTGCTTTCCAGGACACAGTTCTCCATCCTCTGGGTATTTCCTGCACTCTCCCTGTTTTTGCAGCAGCAAGCACAGATTTTTATTTTTTTTTTTTCCAAACCAAGGTGCATTACAAAGATTTGGCTCCCCGTGTCTTTGGGCTGAATCGGTAGGGGGTATATCCAGAGAACACGAGGTAAGCAGGGGAGAGGCAGTTCCTCTTAGTGGGCACTGCAGGTTTTTGAATAAAACTAGATCTGTACACGAGAACAAAGTGGAAAAGCAGATTTCAGAACACTACATTTAAGGGGGAATAAAGTCACATCAAACAAATATTTGCAGACTGTCTCAGGAACAAGTGGCTTGTGGCTGGATTATCCCAACGGGAAATGAGTGTTGTTTGCTTTCTTATATTTAAATTGTTAAAAAAGAAAAAAAAAAAAAAAAAAAAAAAGATTATTAAACCTGGTGTGTGCAAGGCCAGGAACTGACGTTCTTTTCATCACGTACTAAGTTAACAGAAGAGTCGTCTTTAATCTTAATTTACATATAAATTAATATCATTTGAAGTGTCAGCTTTGGTCTAGGGAGTTCACTGACTGGGAGTATTTTGGGAAAGGTCTGCCTAGGATTCCTGTCAGGGTTTTTAACTGCTGGATGCTCTCAGGTATTCACATGTTGGCAAGGCGTGGGCAGGGTCATATTTGGAGCATGGCAGGGCTGCCTGGCATATGTGCTGCTGTTCCCTGGAGGGAAGGAGTTCCTGCTTCTGGGCATGGGGGAAATAAGTCCATCATCAGCTACCAAGCCTCCAGCTGGGCCTGCCATACGCTGAGCCACAGCAAACACACATTTCTGGAATCTAATTTCCTCCTCAGGATCCCCTTTTTGCCTGTTGTCTCCTCCTGGAAACACTCTGAATTCAGCAGAAGAGAATTTCCCTCGCGAGGAACAAGGCAAAGGCATAAATTCAGAAGGGATTCAGCCACAAGAGAGTTGAGATTTTGCTCTCCTTACCTGCCCAAGTTCTCAGTGTCCGGGCTGACCAGGTACATAAGGTTCCTGAGGGTATGCAGTGGGTGCAGCAGATCTAAATTTACATGCTGCCAAGGGGGGGGAAAAAAAAAAAAAAAAAAAGCAAAGACATGATCAGCTCCTGGAGGAAACCAGCAGGCACAGTTGGTATTTTAAAAGCCATTTAAAGAATGCAAATGTGCATTCCCCCTACCTGAGAGAAGCAAAGGTGAAGGATATTAGCATTCAGCTTCTTCACTGCCCGTGTGAACCTGTGTCTGCTGAGATTCTCTCCACAGAACTCGCTGTTAAAACACACATAAAGACACAGAAAGCAAAACGCTGTGAAAATACACTTACTGGAGACTTGTTTAGAGCGTACAGACAGTTTTAGAGTGCTCAGGAGACTAATTTTTCACCTGGCAAGAGTGGTAGCATTTTATCAACAAGCACTGCTTGCCCGGTCTCACAGGACAGGTGGTGCAAACGGTACGAAACCCAAAGATCCGCTGTGGCCAAACAGTTTCAGGTCTCCTTTTTTAAATCCCTGCATCATTCCCTGTTCCCAACCTTTCCCTTCTGTGAAGGCTGAGGACCCAAACGAAATCACAGAATGGTTTGGGTGGGAAGGGACATTCAAAATCACCCAGTTCTAACCCCCTGTCACAGGGTGGAAGGAAAAGCCAAAACCCTCCACGCAATTTTAGAGCCCTCACTTCAAAACCCACTCTTTGAAACACTTTTTAAAAGAGTTTCAGCAGCATATTTGGGACCCCTGGAAGATTGATCAGGTCCACAGGTCCTTCAGGACTCCTGTACAAATCCACCTGCTCCACAAAAACATCAAAAATTTCACAGTGCTCTCCATCCCAAGCGGGGTTTGTGCAACGCACTCCCGGATCTGGTAGCCAGGTACGTTTCCCCACGGGTGGTTTATCCCACAGGGAATTACAGTCCTGGCACATTACGAGTCCTTGCCTTACAGCACAGAACGTAGCAGAGCTATTCAGGAGCTGCTGGATGGGGCTGGGATTTTGTGAAGCACAGTGGGAATCCAAAAAAATGAGAAGTGCTATTCACGGCCTTGTCATATTTCATTTCTGATTTGATGATTGCTGAATACACCAATGAGGGAGGTGTTGTTTCCAGCTGGGATGGCTGGCCTACCCTCTCAGGAGGTAAAAAAGGAGGGACTGTTAACTGTGGTCTAAAATCCTACTATTGCTGTCCTCAAACAGCCCAAAAATTCATGAGCCATCCGTGTTACCATAAAATCCGTTCCAATTCATGACTTTGTTCCCCAAACCAAACTGATTCAGGATCAGCCCAGGCTGGCCAGTGATTCACCTCCTGTGTTTACTTGCCTGTTGCAGAGCTTCTTGGGAAGGTTTACATCAAGTATGAGAGACAAAGTGTTAACAAGCTGAGTTGCATAGCACAATGCAGCACTGATGGTATGAGCAGGGTTATTGTGCTCCATATCTAAAAGAAACAAAAACAACATGAAAGTCTCGTTTGAAGTGAAGCCTCGGTGGGTGTGTTAATGCGTTACTGAAGTCTACCCTGGCAAATGTCAGTTGTAAGCATGGAGAACAGCCTGAATCTAGCAATCATTTACAGCGGAATCTGTCAGAAGTTGGAAGAAAACAGTAATTCTTGGAATTCCTGTGAAGATGACGGCATGTGAACCATGTCAAAACTGTGAATAATTAACTTTATTTCTCTATTACATTGTGCTCTGTGTCCCAGTGAGCATTTCCTGCAGCAGTGGGTTTCAGCAGACTAGTCATAACATCACAGAATGGTTTGGGTTGGGAGAGACCTTAAAGCTCATCTTGTTTCACCCCCTGCCACGGGAAGGGACATCTTCCATTAGACCAGGTGGCTCCAAGCCCCGTCCAACCTGGCCTTGGACACTTCCAGGGATGGGGCAGCCACAGGGACCTTAAAGATGACCCAGCTCCAACCGGGCAGGGAACATTTCCCCTATAATCCCCTATAAACTGGTGTTTATTTCTGACTCAGAACTGGGGTGAGAGCAAAAGGGACCTTGCTCCTTACCAGGTCCTTGCGTGGTCTTCTTCTCTTCCACCCAGCTGTAGTAGGCCGAGTAGTCCCCGTTGTTGGGGAGGGTGATCCAGGGCCCCGTGATGCTGATGCTGGTGTCCCCGTTGTGGTCGTCACACACCCACCTGCCCGAGAGGTAGGTGGTCCTGCGGGCTTCGGCCAGCTTGCTCACAGTGCTCGAGGTCATGGCGCTGTCGCTCTCGGACGACGCGTCCGCGGGGTCTCTGCAGGGAGTTTTAAAAAGGTAACCAAATAACAATTCACAGCAGGCACCCCGCCGGGTTTCAGCCAGGGCAAGGATGCTTGTGGAGAGCGCTCCTGCCCAGCTTCTTATTCCCAACACTGCTCTTTCCTTTGTACTGGGGTTTTTTTAATGGCTTATTTTGGTGAAATCACAGAGTGGCCTAGGTTTGGAAGGGACCTTTAAGGCTCATCTCATTCCACCCCACTGCCACGGGCAGGGACACCTTCCACTGGAGCAGGTTGCTCAAAGCCCTGTCCAACCCAGCCTTGAACACTTCCAGGGATGTGAATCCATATTTTAAGGAAGTTTAACACCGGACACATAGATTAGATCATTCAGCAGGGAGATGGAAGTACCTTCAGATTCTGTTATGCTGATCTCTATCTTTGGGGAACACACCTCCTCCTCCCTGCCCATGGCTAAGGGAGCCTGAGCCTCTACCTTAGACCGACCACCCCTCACTTCTGGGTGTCTAAAGCCAAGCCCAACGAGCCCAAAAAGGACCAGCCTTCCGTTACCTCATGCTTGTCTTCACTTCTTCGATGGGGAAGATGACCGAGGTGAGCTCCAGGATGTGTGTCCTGCGCAGGTTTGCCAGGTGCTCGTACTGGGTTTTCAGCTCGTAGGTTTTCTTCTCCACCAGGTCCCCCAGCCTGCGGTTGTGCCTCTGGATCTTCTCCTTCTTCTCCTGGTGCCGCTGGGCCCGCCGGTAATGCTTCTGGTTCTCCTCCTTGATCCTCAGCAGCCCCTCCGTGTCTGTGGGAGCAGCAGAAGATGTTACACTTGGGAGAGGAGCTCGTGGCAAAGCTTGAGACAAAGCTTTATTAATATTTGTGGAAAACAAGATCTATAGCAGCCTAAAACAGAAAAAACCTCGTTAAACCATTAACATCTTCCAGCTGCTTGGTGGCACAACTTTTTTTTTTTTAATCTTCTCTGAAGGTCTCCAAAGAGACTGCAACTGGGATTATTCTTTCCCTTGTCTTCTACCCAGCTATTTTTGGATCTGGAGCAGAAAAGCCAAGATATCCCAGTTTAATTAAACTCTGAGGTAATCATCCTGACAGAAATAGCCTGACTGTACATGTTTGCACGGTGCTGGCCAAAAAGCCAGGCCCTGCTTGCAGCCAAAATCAAGTGCAGATAGCATCTTCATTCAACGTTTCTGGCACCTCTGCTGCTGTTAGTGTGTCTTATTTGAGCTTTACACTCATGGATGTTCTCTTAAAGCACTTTAATCCCAAGGGTGTAAATCCCTTGTTTCCACAGGGAACACTGGCTAACTCCCTTTCCAGTCCCAAACCCAGAAATGTGCTCATGCACTGAAGTGCTGCAACCTCCTGGATTCGCTCCCATGCATCAGGTTTGGAAAAAATATCCTTTAAGAGCATCTTGAAGCATCGAAGGTTGGACCTGATGATCTTAGAGGTCTTTTGCAACCTTAGTGATTCTGTGATCTGCTGATTCCGCTATAAAAATAACTGACTGCAGCAGCGCTTCCAAAAACCTGTGGTGCTACAGAGTCAGTCACCTCTGCCTTTCAGAAGCACAGGAAAAGGTTTCTTACACACTCTCCAAATAAATGTCTATAAAACTGTCAATTCACCCTGGTTTGAAGGGTGTCTGACCCTGCAGGCACAGAGGCTGCTGTCTCTGAGCATCAGGAAATTATTTCCAGCCATCTGAGCTGCTGCAATCCACGATGTGCCCGGTAGGAAGGAAGATCTGATATGTGGGAGACGCAAAGCCTCGAACTAAAGAAGGTGAGAATAGTTTCTCCGTGCAGAAAAGAACTAATATTCCTCAGGTTGATAAATTAATTGACCCCTGTTAGAGAAGCAGTGGTAAAAACAACTTTTGTCTGACAATCCCTATGTGTCAGCTGTAATTCCTTTAAGCATTCCTCTACGCCAACAGAAAATCAATTAATGCTCGCATTCGTATTCCCAAACTCTCTCTTTGCATAAAGAATAAGAGAGAGAAGAGGAAGAAAACATCCATCTGTTCAATTTTCACATTCATGTACTTGAAAGGCTACTTTTTCACAGGGTGAACTCCCTTCCCTGCAGGTCCAGCAGCAACTATTTGAGAGCAGGGGAGATCACTGCACACAAATTTCCTCCTTGGAAGTCCCAGGGCAGAAACAACTGTCCTTTTTTTTTTTTCTGTGCACAGCACCTCTGCTTTATGACCCAGTTTATGAGGTGATTAAAACTTGTCCCCAGGAGTATTTCAGGACACCACTCTGTCCCACATGCCTGCTCTGGCTGATAAATGCACCCTGATCTCTGCCCAGAGAGCTCTGCCAGGGGGTTGCCAGCCTGTCTCCTTGAACTGTTCTCCACACGCAGAGGGCAAACACACACGGATTTTAAAACACGATTTTAAGAAGCGCCAGTTATTGAGGCCTCCAGGAGGGTCAACCCCAAAAGCAGGAAGCCAGTGTTCTAGAGATTATTTCAGAAAACTAAACTATGCCCCATCCAAGAGAAGAGAAACAACCTTTTTACACTTTCTACTGGGGTCCAAGAGTGAACCAAGCTGGGTTCCTGACCTACTGGCTACTCGTGGCAAGAGCTAATTTTAGGTCTATCTGCAAGAGTAATTTTGGGGTAATTGACCTAACAATGGGTTAGTTGGGCAATAGTTAACTCAGCTGGTAGGTTAAATCTAATCGAGTTCACTGTGAATCAAGACAAGTTGCAAAAGTTGGAGACAATACACTTAATAAGATAATAAGAGCAGAAAAGAGGAGGAACTCCATTCCCTGGTTGGTGCAAACATTCTGCCACCTTCAGAGCTGCACTTTGAGAAAAGGGGACTAAGTTCCTCAAAATCACATTGATTTTCCTCTTTCCCTTTCTTCCCAGGATAAAAAGTAGTCAGGATCTTCCAAATAATAACCTTCTACCTACTGAAAAGCTTGTTTTTCTTCACCTCTCCGTTCCCTAAACCAAACATCAATTTTCTTAGCCATTCCTGGTGTTTTATTCCCAATACTCTCTTCCAGGCTTTCTCCAGTTGATCTGTATCTTTTCTTCAGTTGCTCAGGTTGGGACACCAGACTTCCACTGAGGCAACACCAATGCTGGACAACTCCTTCCATCTTAAATACAACACTTGCACTAGTTAATCCAGAATGAGGCCTGAACCCTTCTGGAGCACCAGGAGATTGATTAATCTTTATTTAATTTGCAGTTCCCCAGATCCTCTCCTGCCAAATCTCACCAGCATCCCCCACCTTGGGTTCGTTTTTCTCTTGCCTAAAAAACAACGTGCACTCAGCTTTGTCCTTTTCACATGATGTCGATTATTTACCATCTGCACGACTTTGAGCCTGGTTCTGTTCTCGTCATCCACCTTGGCTTCCTCCACTCCACCTTCTATCCCACCATGTGAGCTGTTATGGGATACACTGAGCAGAACTGGCTCCTGCTGAGCTCCACCTGCCTCATCTCCTCGGTCTGACCACTGCCACCACTCTTTGAAGGCAGCTTTTTTGACCTTTTGTGTCAGCCTTGCAGGGATCACGGAACAAATGTCTTTCTTTGCTCATGAGACAGTTTGAGGTAGGGCCCAAATCCATCCTCCATCCTTTGAAAACAGGGACTGTTTTCACTCTGTTTCTTGGGACATCCTCTCTCCTGTGTTTCCAAGTGCTCCAGACCACTTCAGCCTGTTCCTTAACTTCCACAAGGCCTTGCTGACACAACCAAAATAACACTTAGCTGTCTGCTTCCTTTCCT